TAACTTTCCCCATGCAGCATCGGCGGTTAAAGTCACGCCCATCAACGACGTGGTACTAGAAACCTTCTTGAGCTTTCTACGCCCGACCATACAGAGTCCGCCACCTGTATATTCTAATGCTTCACCATACTTTTCTGTACACCGCATGCTGAATAGCCGACTAGACAACGCAGGAGAGCGGAAATGACTTCCTTCGTCTGCGGACTGTGGACATCATCCCAATGTTCTTACGCCAAACTACACACTTTAGTACAAATCGTAATCTCCTTCATTAGCCATTCTGTGGTGGGATTTCGCGTTTCTTAAGTGCCTGTGACGGTAGTCAACCCTGTTGTTCTTCTTATTAGACCAACGATATTTTTTATGAACATGCTGCTTACATTCACCTACTTTCCCTTAGACTGGTGTCAATGTAAGCCGGACACTCTGTCTGGATTGCAACTTGATAAATGTAAGAAACTGTTATATACCAGTGTTGGTATCTGTCATTGTCATGAGTGCATATCAATCCCCAGAACATGTGTTTCCATTGTTACTGGCAAAGCCGAAGGGTGCTAGATTCGAAAGCGATTAACGTGGAGTTGCCCCAAGCTGCATGTTCTCTGGTACTCAGTATCAAGTGATCTTTTCAAGTAAAAGTTACCATGCATCAAATACACTTCTCGAGTGTTGCTGCCTGCGCTAATCTGCAAAACGCCTGAAGTCTACGTACAACTGCTGCCATTTGGACTATTAACCGTTTCCATGCGTATTTACATCTACTGCTGCAAGTATTCCCGGTGGAATTAATCTATATTACCTTTAAACATAACATAATGAACTGGAAATGCATTGATTTAGACACCTCGTTATATAACTGTAGATACTTGCTGATACACCTGACAGTATAAGTCGGTCCCTTGCGGTTAGCGAGGGTAAAAACTGAAGAATCTTCTAATGAATGGAAGGTTATATTACTAAATAACAAACTATGTGGGTGAACCAGCAATGTCGGCTGGCTATAACACAGACTTTGAACATTGCACGCTTTTGTTATTATCAGTGGAACCTATGTGTGTAATGGCAAGTGGAAATCCATGCTCGTCTCATGATTTGCAGCTAGCTTCGATGAGGTTGCGCACATCGATATTTTGGTATGTGGATTGTATAATACCAGACGCTTCTGCAGGCTTTCAAGAATTATCAGTTTGATGGTGCTTCTGAACTGGTATCTCCCATGTTAACCCCACTATATGAGAATAAGAAGTCGTATTATCTTCACTTTGACGCTCTGCATATGCTGTAAGGTTGTATTTAATTTTTGTCTCATAACCTCGAATTTCAGATATCTTTCATAGTTTAACGACCTCCCATCTGTACCATTCAGGACCCATAAAATCTCGTAGATTTTTCGACATATGTCAATGTGGCTATGCCGGAGAACTGGATTCTCTCATTTCAGATCACTAATGTGAAAATAGAATGATGATTTACTCATTTATATAAAAGTGGAAATGGCCGGCACCTCTCAAACAAACTTGAAGTATCACATTTCACATGTGAACGGCTCCCCGGAGAAGAAACTAGAGGGTGCACGGGTGCCATCTTCGGGCTTCTGCAGTGCAGCTCTAATAGGTTTGTTAGAAGGACCAACAAATGTGCTGAGAAGAAGTTTGATGTCATGATGCGCCGACATGGTTGCGTCTATTATGGTTTTCTTGGCTTTTGCAATGCTTCCAGGGCTTCCGGGATCGTGCTTAGAGTTTTACACTTACATTTGAGAAGGTTTGTCAGCGCGGTTAGAATGTGCTCACACCGAGGAATAAAGTGTTGGCAATAAATTACCATGTCGAGAAATGTACGCAGAGAGTCGAGGAGCGTTGGCGCCTGAAAGTCTTGAATCGCCTACACCCTTTCGGGTAGGGGGCGAGTCCCATGTTCGTCGATTACATGCCCCGGAGAAGCCAGTGAACGAATGCCAATTCGGCGCTTGCCCAGATTGACTATAATCGAATGTTCCAACAGTTGGGCGGAAACCTGCTGTAAGTGACCGCGATGAGTCTTTTCGTCTGGGCTAGCTACTAGAATACCGTCCAGATAAGCATAGGCAAAGTTTAATCCACACAAAAAACATCATGAATGACGCTTTGGAAGGTTTTTGCCACGTTGTGTGGACTGATGGCCAGGCGAACGAACTCAAGGAGACCAGAAGGTTCACTGACGGCTGCCTCTGGGACATCTTCGGGATGAACTGGGATCCGGTAATAGACATGACTCAGGTCATGCTTACTGAGGATAGGCGACCCTTTCAAGGACGCGGCCAAACTATGTATGTTTGACCTGGATAAGGATCTGGGATCGCTTTGGCTTTGAGCCCCCGGTGTTCGCCACATGGCCTCCAGTCCATGGCATTGCCTTTGGGTACCACATGCAAACACGAAGACCATAGGCTGTTGGATGGTCTCACTGTTCTCACCTGAAATACGATTTCATTCCGGGTCCTGACGGCTCGCGGTTTCCCTGGGGATAACCAATGTGGTTTGGCGGACACTAGTGGGCCAGTCATAGCTATGTGACGTGAGACGTTGGGAGCCACACAAGGTGCACAGTGATTTGGCTTGGGGATCTCCAGAAGGACTAAATAATGGATGCATAGGAGCTGGAATTATCCTCCATGGAGGGCGCTTGGCTGAGGGAAGGCTTCCACAGGATCAATCAGCTCATGCTTACCAGCATCTACCAACAGCTGAGAGTGCTGCGAGAGATCCGTAGTTGTAATGCTTGTGGTCACATCAACCATAGTGAAAACCCGGCGGGAAGAATAACGTAGTCCAAGGTTGAGCTTGAGAGATGGTTGACCGTCGGTCAGGATTGGCGAACCATCGGCGGCGCGAAGTTGTGGGGACGTCGACCGCAAACGCTCTTCAGTCGTGGGTGGGGTGACGCTAGCTTCCACCCCGATATCTACCACGAAGCGCACCCCAGAATGTCGGTTTGACACCGGCGAGTTGATAAGGGAGTGAGTCGCCAACGATGTTAGTCGCCATCACGTGCTGGCTGGCGCATTTTCTGATTGTCTAGCCTTGAGCGCGTCTTTCAGCTTTGGCGCCGTAACGTTTTGTGGTGCGAGCTGGGATTCTCGCGGTTTGGAACATCTTTTTTAGTACAGCGGGCGTATCGGCTCCGCGAGCGAGACGTGCAACTGTAAGAGGGAATACTGGATCTCATTTCTTTCCCAATAGTGTACATTCCCTTCGTACGACAAAGTGATTTGAGCTACGAAGTCAAAACTCGACCGCCGGCTAGTTAAGAGGGGGCGGGGATCTTCATGTGAGTCAATGCTAGTAGATATTTTGGCTGAAGTGCCTGTGTTGGGCTTGATGGCACCCACTGCTCCGTCAGCTAGTTCCACCAGCTTCATCAAGGCGGAATTATGGAAGGGAACTAGGATTCCTCATACCTTCCAGTGCGGTCTCTGCAATCACAGTTGTTTGAGAAATGCCCCATCGATTTAGAAGTCTGAAACCGACTGCTTCGTTTGACGAACCATTTGCGCGCGCTTACGATCACCGAGATGCATATCACTGAAAAGTTCCTGGACTTTCTGTTGGCGAGTAGGTGCAACACGTTTGATGAGAGCGTCTTCGAGATGGTCGTACACATTCAATGCCGGATCATCTAAGACGCCTGACGCATCGGTTATGTGTTCGGGTGAACCCGCGATAACTAAGTTTGACCTGGTTCTCTGCCAGTAAACACGCTCCAAAGAAAATTCAGCTTTCTTGTGAGAACCCACAGAGATGAAGACTTACGGCCATCTAAGCAGAAGAGTCACTGTTAACAGCCACTGATAAGGGATATAATAAGGCGCAAAACGCAGGACAAATATATCACCGGAGGATCAACAGGGTACTGGACATGGTAAGAGAATGGCACACAGGTTCATCAATTGTAAGAGACTGGGTGTGTTGCTGTTATGCAACTTACTAGCTCCGATCTCCTCTAGTGCCTGCCAGATTAGTACTTTACCTAACGTGTAAGTACCGGTAGCGAAACACAAATCAGAGGACTGAGTTATTTAGGAACAAGCTTGAGAGGGCAATATATTTAAATCGAATAAATGTGGAATTGATTTTGGGGAAAGAGTTTGTTCAACTTATCTGGCTGATACGGCTGAGCTACGGACTCCGAGAAAGTGCATGTTAATTAGCAGAAACGGAGCACAAAATGACGCCGAGACCTGTTCGGACGTATGGTCAATAAAGGGTAACTCAGAACACTTCAAGCATGTGGAGGTGAGCTAAAGGTTTATTTGGTTAATATTTAGTCGGTTCAACTTAATCTTCTTACTTTGGCTTCAGTTGCATTTTAGTGTCAGGAAGGTGCACTATATTTCGAGTCTCAACATCTTTGAAAGGACACTCGAAGAACTTAGATCTGTTATGTATATGTAGTGCTTATTATGATAGTGCTTTCTGTAATCGCTGTCGGCTGCTTTGCGACATCGTGAATCGTGTAAAATTACCGCTAAGTCAAAATACTGCACTCACATACCGGCTCTAAGTTATCATCTTCGTCTTTCTTTACGTCCGAGTCACGAATGTTGTACAAACTCTCAGTTTGCTCAACACTTAATGGCGAGTTCATTACTTAAGAATTTCACTAATATGTTGCAATCTTTTGATGCAAGTTTCATACTCGCCATTTTCGTAAACTTCGATACCTCACAAGCTGACTAAATCCTACTACCAGGTCTACTGATACAATATTCCATCCAGAAGAAATTTTTACGCTACTTTTCAAATCCCGAATGCTAAGCGAATTCGTCAATACGACACAAGAACAAAAGCGGGTATTTAACAAGATTGGGAAGTAGCGCCGTTTGATTTTTGAGGGTAACATCGCTCTGACCAATCAGAACAAAGGAAGTTTACAGTTGAAAGATTACGGTTGTGCGAAGTAATCATTTAGTCTCGCGACAGGTGATCGCTTGTCGGTTTACTGTCTGCCTTTTCACGGCCATGTCTGTTAGAAAACGTAGAGTTGTAAAGGCAGCTGGTTACAGCTTGTCAGAACCAGTTGATTCTGGAACAGTACTGCTTGATTCATTTAAGAGAAGGTGGATCACTGGCTGTGCTATTGGTCAAGGTGGTTTTGGACGAATCTACTCAGGTATAATTCGTTCTTTAATCGTCTCTATAAGTTGGATATAGTTAAACTCGAAGGTGAAAACAGCCACCGTTATGTCGTTAAGATAGTAAGTTTACTATTTCATATAGAGCATTATGTCTAGGAACCACAAGAAAATGGACCACTTTTTACTGAAATGCATTTTTATTTGCGAGCATGTTCAGAGGACTCAAGTATGTTTATGAAGCTTTAGGGTATATAATTCAGAGCTTCTTAACTAGCTTTTTTGGTACTATCTTCATCGGTCTTTCATTTTGTTTTTCTGAAGGTGTGTTGACTCATATCCTCGTAAATTATAGCCTGTTTCTACTTCTTAGTAGTGCATACTTTTTGTGTGAATAGATGGGTGATTGGATTCAGAAAGATAACCAATGTGTCGTCCAGTTGGCATCCAACCTTATACGGATACTTTCATCGTTGAAATATAGTGTCTCTTTTTTGTCATGATAATTCAGCGCACTAATGCTCAAAGGCATAAGCATCTGGCCCAATTGAATGCACACAGTGTGAGATGATCCTGATTGGAACTGCCTTTGGTAATGCAGGTCACTAATGATTTTTACTAGACGAAGAGGTTGGCAATAACGATAAAGACCGTATGTAGTAACAGTTGTAGTTCCCTGTGATTAAATATCCTCATCGTCATCGGTATATTCTTCTGTTCATGAGAATGCGAATGTTGCCGTTCATCATCTTTATGAAAATAACAATTTCCATCGAACCTATGTACAACTTGAGGAAGTGTGCGCGTTGGTCCATCGTCGTTTGTTTGCTTAGGTTTGAGTAATATCTAGACAAGGGAAATCCGTGGGATTAAAGTTCCGTTTCAGAAAAGCACAGAAGTGTCTTATTTCATTGTTTTCCAACCTGTCATGGCTAACGAGCTTCTGGCAACCACGAATGAGTTGCATGGTGGCGTAGGTTTGTGCCTCAACGGAGACATTGAGCTCCATATGATAGATGACATTATTTTCTTGGCACTGATTTTTGCGTTTGCATGATGGTATCCTATTCCCCTCAGATCTACATACGTTACAGAAATCAGTTCAAATCGCAAAGCTAAGGAGAATTGATTTCTCGATTTTGATTGATGGTGACTCCTTTCCAAGTGTCTAGACTTGGCGGTCTTTGAGCTCTGGCGTCTTGTTTCTGCCTTACTCTGATGAGTACTGAAAGTCGCACTGTCTTGCTTTGAACTCAAGAGATGAGTGTTTGTGCGTCTTTTGTATAGTCGTAAGATTGGCCTTGCATCGTGGTCTCTTTTCGCTTATTGGCTTATGAGAATGACTGAATTATCACAGCTTTCGCTTCTGATTGTCTGGATCTTTAAAATCAGTATTTTACCGCACAGGCTGCATAGCAATCTATAGGGTTTATGTTTTTTGATAATTTCGACTGGGGAGTGATGTGTAAGTTCAATCTGTTTGGTGTAACAGGAAACTTCATAAACGGTTCTCACCACTCATTGGTGTTGTTAGCTAAGCAATACATTTTGGCATAGGTACACAATAGATGTAGCTCATAGTGTATAACTCAGTACTTCGTTTGAGGTGCATCGTGTCCTCCATAACTGAGTACATAATCCCGTAGATAAACAGTCAGATGCTTTCTATCATCACCTTCAATACAGAACTGGCTGATCCATTGGAGATAGGGAGGACTAGGGAAATTTATGCCCTCTTTTTCGCATTCTTCGTATGTTTGACAGCGATTGCATAGCATTATTTCAAGTGGTCACACTATTTTTATCTGAGGTATGTAAAAATGGATGCAGTGTAATGCATAGTGCCCAATGCAACCGCTTGAAGCTCTGTGCACTTATCTATAATGGGACTGTAACTCAATGGTCTAGGCAATCGACTTCCAACCTATGGATCACGGGTTCAAAGTCTGCACTACCTACAGAGGACCGGTTAGTCAGGTAGTATCACTAAGCCTCACAAAGTATGTAGCTCGTTTTCTGCTGCATGAAAGTGCATATGATTCCTCTTCTCACCGAGCTATGAGTCTTACCTTCTGTGTGTGTTGAGTGGTTCTACTTGACTGTCCAAAAATCGATGCCTAGAGCTGTATTCAAACCTGTTACTAGCTAGTTAGATCCTTAAAACATATCTATGGATGGTTCATATGATGACTAGACTCATTATCAGTGGTGTACATTTGATGTACAATGCCAATTGGACATAATGGAAAACTTCCATTTTGTAAGAATGAGTAGAGCGTTTCCTACCAGCGACATTAAAGAGGCAGGTCAAATGTAAGGTATGTAAGTCCAATTATACACACTGATCTAGTTGACTTAGATCATTCATCTAGACAGTACCAGTTTCATAAATGCTTCCATTTGTCTTAGTTTTGACTAGACCTTCAAGATGTTGACTTATGAAGACTTTGATTGTGCGTGTCGCATTATTTTAAAACGAAACTGTACTGGTATCAGATTTTCAAGTGTGTGAATGGTACTTGCATCTCGATATCTCATTACACTGCACTATGCGATAAGCTAAGCTCATTGCTTTGTCGTTATCTCAGGTGGAGAGTTAATAATTTGCTTCTTCTAGTTTCTGTGTGCCGGTTTGACAAGCATAATCGTGAATGGGTGATATTTATGAGTATAGATGCATTTAAAAACCGTTTATTATATAGAAAGTCATTATTACAATGTATTGTTTGCAGCAAAATTTTCCAAGTTATCAACTGTGTTTGGATTTTCGCTCAGGGATGAATTGTACAAAATGTATGGTTAACAGTGCTATGTGACTGTTCAAAACAAAGTTGACACTGTTCAGCCCCTTAGTAAGTGGCAGATAGTAGACTAACTAAATGACTAGGTTACAGCTCCATTTGTGTCATCGGTGTTGTACACTTTGTAAATGTGCATTATTTCGTTGTTTGTAACTTTGGGTTTGGCTATGTTGAAGTTAGCATATCGGATTTGTTGGATTTCAAAAATATCTTTTTATATGAATGTCTGTTTATAATAACCATTCACAAAATCTTCAGTGAGCGTAACTGAGTCTTATTTCTATGAAAGTCAATTACCGTTTAATCAAGAATCATGTGTTCACTTTCTTCTTATCTTTTACATGTTAAAAGTCAGATTAGGTTAGTATTTTTCGAATTGATCATGTGGTAGTAATTTTCTTTTTATCTCTTTACAAGTCAATTCATGGAAAGTGAAACATTCTCTTAAATACCTTGGTATTCCAAAGTATGTTAGCAGTGGATCAGTCGTTTTGAATAAAAAGCCTCTTCGGTTTCTTGTAATGGATCGTTTCTCTGGAGATTTTGAAACCACACTAAAGAACCATAAAATTTCTGCATCTGGTATTATTGATGTTTGTACGAATGTGGTGAGTAGTTTGACTATGCATTATCTGTAAGCTGTAGCGTAGTTGATATTTCCATGAAGATAATTTTGTGCATCATAGTTCTGTATAGTGGATATTGCAATTCAGAAATCCAATGAAGTCACGTATACTACTGTGTAAAGACATTTGACAGCACCAATTTAGCCAAACATTGGTAGGTAAAATAGGTTTGGAAATCGGGCGGATGCCCTATCGGATATTATGCTGGTTTATATGAAAATCGCTTGATAATGGAGTAGTTAATTAGTCTAAACACTACTTTAAAATGAAGAAGTTATGGATTAGTTGACTACTTCAAGCACCAAGGTCTGAACAGTTAGTTAGTATGACTATCACCTGATGGGTGTGGATCATAGTTAGGGTTAGGGTGATGAAAGTGAATGGATTGGTTGAGTCGATGTTTTTGTTTTGGTGACTGAATGTAATAGTGTAATATCTGCTGCGGCACTGCAACATTTCCAGTTTTCACATTCAAATAGTACAGCGAATGAATGCAAAGCGGATGTAGAATAATAATAATGTCTTTGAGATTAAAGTTGAGGTGAAGTGTGAAAACAGTTCATCTGCTGCAGTCCATTATAGGTATAATGCCACGTGATGTTTTTACCCTTTGCTTTAGTCTTCTTGAAGACTCACCGAGAAACGTGTATATTTGCAAGATCCAAAGAAAAACTAACGACATGAGTGGAAGTCAATTCTTTGTTCAGTTAGTCTGGGATATTTGCGGTTCCACGTAACAAGGGGTCATCGTGTGTGACTAACAAGCATCACCTGGTAGATGAAGATAATTTTGAACCTACGACTTCCAAACTGTTAGCTGGTGAAACATTGGTGTAGAAAGTTATGCAGCCGTATGCCTTAATGAGTGACTTTCGACTGAACACAGAAGTAAACTGGTGGTACTAAGTGAATTTGAGTTGTCAGTTCGATTTCTGAATACGAAGTAGTCTGAATTGCAAGGGAGGAGTTTAAATTAATTACACTCTATGGTATTTGAATAGTGCTTCCTTATTTAGGATTGTTCTTGGATAAAAATTTTATTAGTTGCAAATTGAACCATGATTTAGTGATATCAGATCATATGTTGATATCAGCTTTTCCTGATCCCTAGTGTGCTTTCACGACTATGCTTGCTACTAATCACTTACGTTCTGCTCAAATGACCTAATTTTTGTGGGTCGTTACTGTTGTTTAAGAATAACCGTGTGTGTATAGGCTAGATGAAAGCTTATCTGGAATTATCAAACCTTTCAACGGTAAGAAAGTTGTGACATTTTCTATATATAAATGTGGGTAGAAAATCCAAGCATGTTTCGGCACTTGACTAACTCGAGGTGTGTTTATTTGTAGGCTTTCGAGTAGGTACTTAAAAGAGTATCTCTGAGTAATTATTGTAATTCACAATCGTGGTATAGGTTTGTTCACTGGACTATCTAACACCTTTAGTGTGAGAGATTATGGTAGTGTTCAGTTGCGTAGATGAAAGCATGTGGGTCAGCGCATGAATCTGAAATGTACTACTTGAAGAGCAGGAGTGCAATACAAGTCTCATTACCACTAAAAAGACACCGGTATGGCGAAGATCTCACCTGTACGCAATGGGTGCATATATATATATATATATATATATATATATATATATATATATATATATATATATATATGTAATGCTGGAGTCGTGAATAGTGCACTGCGCTACAGTTCGTTCTATTTTACCGTATTGCTGTGAAACATGACCGTGAAGGGTAAAGGAAATGGGAAGGCTTTAGGTGTTTGACCATCTGTGTCTTCATTAACTGAAGTAGGTTTAAGCTTGAAAAAGGCTCGAGGTGGCCAGATTAAAACATGGCATCTGTGTATGAAGTCTTTGACTGTTGATCTGATTTAGCCGTGTAGGTAGATGTAGACTAAAATTACTCGAATTTAGTCTTCCCGTTTCTGGTCTATGTGACAACACAAACCAGCGATTAGAGATGTGGCTTAGAATTTATGTCAGTGACGTAGATGTATCCATACATTATCTTCGTCTCGATCGTAATACTGAATTCAGTATTTTCTGGTTACCGTCTCCTCTCTTTTACTACTTTCGACCGATACTTTTCGATTTCTCTTTCTCTCTCTCTCTCTCTCATCTTATTGCTTTGCTGCTTGATTTGCCGATGTGAGGTGTGGCAACTTGGACCGTTATGCATGCAATAATGCCTGGTCTTATATCGATATTCGTGATGATAGTTGTGAAGCTTGTCCTGATCGATCAGGGGTTGAATCAGTTAGCCAATAGCAGGAGGAGACTTTGTAATGCTGCGTAGTGGTCTGAGCTGTTGCATCTCATACCACATGAAAGTAGCAGGCAGTAAAATGAAAAACTTAGAGGCTGAGAAAATGCAATCCTAAATTGTGGAAAGATGTAAGAAGGAAGGAATCCGGGATTAGAACAATAACAAAATACGATATGACGAGTGAAATGAAGATGATGAGTGAATATATGCTCCAGTGATTGATTGTGCAATCATGGATTTCGACTGTAACATGGACTTGATGCTTGAATTTTCCATTTCGCTACATGGTTCAGACTAACAGCCACCAATTTCCTGGGTGTATTTGACCATCATTACCTTCGTCGGATTGCTAGCGTCTGGTGTGAGGACGTAGTGAATAACTCTGAGATCAGTTAGTGTGTATCTCTTGTATTATTGATAAGTAAGACAAAAGTAATGAGCAGTTCTTTGAATGTCTTAAATTACATTTTAGATAGTTCTCTTACCTTTCTGCTTTTTTTCTTTTTCTCTTTCATCATCTCGTTCATGCCTTCTAAACTTTGTCATATTAATTTGTGTGGTGGATTTCTTGGCACGTATACCGTACCAAGTTTTGTTTTGAAAAGATCATATGATTGATTGGTAAGCTGGAACACAAGGGAGACTCACGGGTGGTCGACACTGGCTGTATTTCTTAAGCTGAAGACAGTATTAAAGCCGGTTGATCGCAGGATTATGCAGCAGTGTGTCACTGAAAAGAATGTCGGTCAATTACCAGCCCACTGAAGGTCTTGTACTCGAACATATGTGATTGTTTAGGCACCTATGGTGATCTGTGCAGTACAGTCCAAAGAAGACATAAGAACTTTTAGAAAGGTTGGAGGTGCCTCATTGGTGTTGAGAGGATTTCATTTGAAATATCATCCTCCAGTTGCAACCTTTTGGCGTTACTGTTGATGGATGTGATGTAGGCTATGTAAAACTGTGATCACCACGATCAGCAACAATGGTGATTGGTTTAAACAGCCGTTGGTCTTTGCATTCTTTTTTCTTGGTCAAGATTGATGTCATTGTTTAGATTTTTGATTTTTGCTTATATGTAGAATAAGTTGTGAATTATGTATCTGTATCTTTGGAGGATGGTTTACACTGTTTGTGTGTTTCGAAATTTGTAGTTGAATGCACTGGAATATGTACATTCTCGGGACTATGCTCATGCGGATATCAAGGCATCGAATCTTCTTCATGGTACTTCTCAAGAAGAGGTTAGTTTTAATTGTTTGGCAAATATTTCTTGTTGTGGAATGTAATTAACAGCGGTATGTCAATAAATAAAGCATCACTAAGTGGTCACTCATTAGTTTGAACGTAACTGAAGTTTTGGTGAAGTGAGACAAGTAAAGTTTTGCGATTGTTGACAAATTAGTGCACAAACTTTGGGGGCAACACTTATTTCTTGAAGGCTGGTCGAAGGGTAGTGGTTACAGTAACCGGTCGTAGGAATTGACTGAATGGTTACTAGTTGGTTTTATAGATCACATAAGTAGAATGAAATCGTTTGAAATTTCTGTTGCCTGTCATTTTGATGAATGAAATGATGGAGTGTTTCTTAATTTCAGAAGAGATTCGATTTTACGTGGGTTTGTCAGAAAATGGTAGTTGATATATACGTTTCAAGTGGAAAGTGTCCGACTGACAGTTATGTAAAGAATCTACCTGTGATTCTTGAGTGTCGTTAGTGTAGATGTGGTTGGTGCATATGACTGAACATTTGAATTGAATTTTTCTTCATCATTCATTATGAAGTGCTATATAAATGTGAAGGGGAGACTAACTGTACTGAAATCCGACTTGTAAATTGACTGATCTATGGAAGGTTCGGATGTGGTACCAGTATTGAAAGTGTTCTCCACCACAGTGGAGTGTGCCACTTGAGCAAAGAAAAAGAACAACACTGCACATACGCTTCTCTGATAACTAGGAAATCGGGAAACTTGTGTCTAGTTATTTCTACTAATTATATCCTTAACTTCTATAGATCTTTGTAGAAAATCCTGGAGTCTTAAAGCTATATTTGTATCCGAGTGTATGAACTGTGTGTCAAGAAATAGGATTTATTTTGTGTTGCAGTGCTCATTTATTTGCTCTTCTTTTTAAGAGAAACATGTTCTCCATTTTCTTTCAGGTGTATTTAGCCGATTTTGGCCTAGTCCATTTATTCCGTTCAAGAGGTGTACATGCTGCTGAGAAACCAGATCCTAAATTTCGACATAATGGAACGTTAGAATTCTGTTCACGGGATGCACATAATGGTATGGTGTGCACTTTTTCTTCTCTTATATACTTCTTAAAACTCTGTCATCTATGTAGTTTGTTGTGACCGAATTTTTTGATTGCGATTTCTGTTAATATATGTTAACCGTTGGAGGGTGGTATCGATAAGCGAAGGAAACTTCATTATTATTGCGTACTGTTACCAGGTTTTTGAAGAACACTGAGTCTCTGTAAGCTGTTTGATACTCGTCGTTGTATTCTAGCAGGTAGCGAGTATAGTGATATGAGTAAGTCCTGTACACGACAGACCATGCAGCGTTTGCTTGAGAAGTGCGAGGTGTGGTGGTTGAAAGGCGTGAGTTAGGTGAAAGGAGTAGCTGCATCTGGGAGAAATCGGGAGCTATTCTAGGTTATCGGAGCGGAGTCAGTGTCAGCAGGAAGTAAATAGTACGCCGTTCTCCAACGTTTATGGATGCCTGGTAAAATAGAGCTAGGAGTTGGAAAAGCAGCTCAGTTGGACTACTGCTCCAGCAGCATCCACTTATTGAAGTGGATGTTGGGCTGCATGATCAATTAACTCTTATCCGTCTAACCAGGCGATAGTCCGTTAGGATCGTCAAGATTTAAGTGTGATAGGGCACTCTGCCGAGAGGAACTACCGTAGACACTTTATTAGGCTCGAGGTGAGACTGTGGTCAGAGAACTGATTACATTGTTTGAGAAGGTATGTTTGAATAAGGATATTCCATCCCCCTTGAATGAAGCCATAATTGGACCCATTTTACAAAGGGGTCTACGTAATGTATGTATGTTGTAATCACAGGTGTGTCAGTGTGCTATTGATTTCGTCTAAAGTATTGGGTACTATCGTGCATTGTGGGCTGTTCAAAAGGCTTGAGGAATTCATCGGCAAAGAGTAGTCAGTATTTCGTCCTGTTCATGGATTCATTGATTATGTGTTGACCTTCTACCAGATGGTCGACCACTATCACACGTATTTGCGACCAGTGACCGTTGCATTCCTCCTTGACAGAGATGCTTTCGGTTCGTTGAGAATGGCTGTTTTGGAATTGTCTGTTAGAGAGTGGTATCCGTGAGGATTTGGAAGTGCTATTCGTGACGCACCAAGTTTCCTCACCATGTAGACATAAATCATCAGCGAAATCCCAATCTTTTAGGCTGTTTTCATCGGTTTAGCGTATGCCGATTTTCTCACTGCTCACGGTTTGCTGTGTGATCCAGTCGACCACAATCAGAAAGATGATCGATGATAGTAGGCGGCAGCGTTGTCCTACTCCTGTCTTCATTCACTTCAAAGGCGTCACCGAGCTTCGTTTGTGGATAACCTGGTATTTGGCGTTTTCATATAGCTGTTAAGTGAGTTTTATGAAGATTAATGACACTAAGATCGTAGTGTTGAAGGAGCTGCCAAATTACTTGTCGGTCGAAGCTGTCGATGGCCTTTTCGAAGTCGATGGAGTTGAGGTAGAGAGTTGACTGCCATTCTATAGTCTGTTCGATGATGATGCATAGTGTTGCAGTCTGATCGGCACATGATTTGTTCTTCCTGAAGCCAGCCAGTTCCGGTGGTAATTTTGAATCCAGCGCATGTTTTAGTCTCTCCAGGATGATGCGGCATAATATTTTGCCCCTCTTCCAATCAATAGTCAGGTACCTTTCCTTCCTTCCTTCCTTGCAAACCTTCTACAGTGGCGGTGTGAGCATGTCCGTTGAAATCTCTGCATCTGTTTTGAGTACTTCTGGTGGAATTCCATCTGGTTGTGCTGCTTTCCCGAATTTCAGCAGCTTTATGGCATTCAGGACTTGGACTTTCGTTGGAAGGCATGTGTTCACTGGTAGTTCTGCGGTTGCTAGTGGTATTTGTGGCCGAATTGCAGGTGTTGGTGGTGGTTGATTCAAGAGTTTTTGAAGTGGTCAGCCCATTGTTTCCTTTGTTTCTCCTCTTTGGTTACTAGGTTTCCTTCACTATCTTTCATTGATTTTGTCTTCGTTGGTCTCTTCTAGATAGTAACCTGGTTATTTGATATGATGTTGTCAGGTCTCTCCTACCAGCAGCCTGTTCTGCTTCACTTGTAAGTGTGTCGTAGAAGTGTCTTTTGTCTTTGCGCGCACTCTTCTTCAGTTGTTTGTCCAGTGTTTTATACGTTGTGTTCGGTTCTTCTTTTTGTTGTGCATGCTTGCACTGGTTCATCTTCTGCTTCACCATCTTCCTCTCCCTGTTCTATGAGTTTGCATGTGTCCGTCGAGATCCATTCCTTGTTTGTTTCCTCTTCAAATTACGGTTATGCAGGTTCCTTTCTACATTTCTTTCGAAGAGTTCCAATGTTCATCCACACAGGTTTCTTCATGGATGTTGCTCGATATCTCCCGTTTTGTTTTGATGGCTGATGTGAAGATGTTCTTTGTAGTTTTGTCATTCAGTTAAGTTTCTGTTCTGGGTGTTGAACTTGAACTGTAGTCTACTGCCAACTTCGTTGAAGGCTTTCAAGTTGATTTTGAAGGTACGTTTCTTGCAGTAGATAGTGATTGGTGTGAACCTACATCTGCTCCCCTTCTTGATCTGATCTTGTGTCGAGTATAGGCTGCGTCTCCGCTTTCTTCACATTGAGATGAAGTTGATGTGATTTGTAGTGTGTCGTGGTGTGTGGTGAAATCCATGTCGCTTTGTGAATATCCTTGTGTTTTTACACACTGCCTCCAATCACCAAATCGTTGAATGCGCAGAAATCTGGAAACAGTTCTCCATTGTCATCGATCATTTCACGGAGTGTTTCTTGGCCCATGATTAGTTCTCTTCCTGTGTTGTCTGCTCCGAGTTTGGCATTGATGTCGCCCATTAGAATTTTGATGTCGCTAACTGGAGTCTTGTCTAGTACTGATTCCAGTTGTCTGTGGAGTTCCTCCTTCTTCTCTTGATGTGCATTATTTGTAGGTGCGTAGCGTAGGATTGAATGATTGTGACTTTCCTTCCTTTTGAGTTGAATCTTGCTGTCATGATCGTGGAGAAGACTGGTTCCCACTGTATGAGAGCCTCCGATGGTTTTGGGAGGGGGCCATCATGATAGCCACTTCAAAACTCAGTGTGGTCGTGATTGTCGTCTGTGTGACAATATGGGAGTAGATTATTGATTGTCCAGTTAAGAGTTTGTAGAGTCCACTTCCATTCCATATGCTTTCGCAGGTTCCTAGTCTAGCACTTCCATGCCATATCTGCTCATCTTATTTGGAATCTGGGCAGCCTTGGTAGGTTCATAAATTGTGCGAACATTCCAAATCCCCATTCTTACTTTCGCTTTCATCGAGAGAAGATACATCAGCCAACTGTCTTACTGAAGGCTTTCATCAACGGATGTCATTTCGTCTCTCGGATTCCAGCGAGGAATCGGTTTGTTTTTATTTTTTATATTTTGTCAGTGCTTTGAAGTTTATTTAGCGATTGGATTGGTTTTGCGGGGTAGGGTTGTGCTAACCATATGCCCAGGCTTCCTTCTTTATCTGGGCCTAGGACCGGCTAGTAACTAATGAACTAGTTAACCAGGAACCTCGCCTGGTTAACTAGTTTACTAGTTACTAGCCGGTCCTAAGCCCGGGTAAAGAGGGAAGGTTGGGCATAGGGCTAGCAACCCTACCCCGTAAAACAAATCTGACCGCTAAAGAAACTTCAAAGCACAAACGATATATAAAAAATAAAAACAGACTTATTCCTCGCTGGAGTCGGAGAGGCGAAACGACGCCAGTTGGTGAAAGCCTTCGGGAAGCCAATTGGCCGATGTGTCTTCTCTCGATGAAAGCGAAAGTAAACGTGGGGACATGGAATGTCCGCACCATGTTTGAAACCAGCAAGGCAGCCCAGATTGCAAAGGAGATGAGAAGGTATCACATCGAAGTGCTTGGGATTTGCGAAAGCAGATGGAATGGGAGTGGACTCTCCAAACTGTCAACTGGAGAATCAATAATCTACTCCGGTCACCCAGACGACAACCACGAGCACACTGAGGAAGTGGCTATCATGATGTCCCCAAGAACATCGAAGGCTCTCATGCAGTGGGAACCAATCTCCTCCAGGATCATGACAGCAAGATTCAACTCAAAAGGAAGGAAGGTCACAATCATACAATGCTATGCCCCTACAAATAATGCAGAGCAAGAGAAGAAGGAGGAATTCTACAGACAACTGCAATCAACACTGGACAAGACGCCAGTTGGTGATATCAAAATTCTAATGGGCGACATGAATGCCAAACTGGGAGGTGACAACACAAGAAGAGAACTAACCATGGGTCGAGAAACGCTAGGTGAGATGAACGAGAATGGAGAATTGTTTGCAGAATTCTGCGCATTCAACGATTTGATGATTGGAGACAGTGTGTTCAAGCACTAAGATATCCACAAAGCGACATGGATTTCACCAGACACCTGGACACACTGAAAATCAAATCGACTTTATCTCAATCTCAAGAAAATGGAGACGCAGTCTACTTGACACAAGGTCAAGAAGAGGAGCAGATGTAGGCTCAGACCACTATCTAGTGCAAGGAACCTTCCAAATCAAGTTGAAAGCCTTCAAGGAAGCTGGTGATAGACCACAGTTCAAGCACAACACTCGGAAACTGAAGGATGAAATTACAAAGGAGATCTTCAAGGCAGCCATCAAGACAAAATGGGAGACATCGAGGGACATCCCTGAAGAAACCTGTGTGGAAGAACACTGGAAGTCTTTGAAAGCTATGTGGAAAGAAACCTGCACAACAGTATTAGGAAGGAAGAAGAAAGAAGACAAGGAATGGATCTCGATGGATACCTGGAAGCTGATAGAGGAGAGGAGGATGGTGAAGCAGAAGATAAACCAGTGCAAGGATGCTCAACGACAAGAGGAACTGAGTACAATGTACAAAACACTGGACAAAGAAGTGAAGAAGAGTGCATGGAAAGACAAAAGACACTTCTACGAAACACTGGCAAATGAAGCAGAACAGGCTGCAGGTATTTTTTAGAGAGACCTGACGACATTGTATCAAATAACCAGGTTGCTATCTGGGAAGAAATCAACGCAGACGAAACCAATAGAAGATGAAGAAGGAAATTTAATTACGAAAGAAGAGAAACAAAGGAAACGATGGGCCGACCACTTCAAGAAGCTCTTGAATCGTTTACCACCACCACCACCTGCACTTCGTCCAGAAATACCACCTGCAGCCGCTGAACTACAAGTGAACATAAATCCTCCAACAAAAGTGGAAGTCCTGAACGCCATAAAGCTACTGAAATGCGGAAAAGCAGCAGGACCAGATGGAATCTCGCCAGAAGCACTGAGAACGGACGCAGAGACAACAGCGGACATGCTCACACCACTATTGCAGAAGGTGTGGAGGGAAGAGAAGGTACCTGGTGATTGGAAGAAGGGTTACCTCGTTAAACTGCCGAAGAAGGGAGACCTCAGTGTTTGCAAGAACTGGCGCGGAATCACCCTCCTATCCACCCCAAGTAAAATATTAAGCCGCATCATCTTGGAGAGACTAAAGGATGCACTGGATTCAAAACTGCGACCGGAACAGGCAGGCTTCAGGAAGTACAAATCATGCACGGACCAAATTGCAACGCTTCGCATTATCATAGAACAGAGCATAGAATGGCAATCAGCTCTCTACCTCAACTTTATCGACTTTGAGAAGGCCTTTGACAGCGTCGACCGACAAGTAATTTGGAGACTGCTTCATTACTACGGAGTACCGCAAACCTTTATCAGCCTCATTCAACAACTATATGAAGACACCACATGCCTAGTAATTCACGGTGGAAAGCTCAGTGATGCTTTTGAAGTGAAGACAGGAGTGAAACAAGGTTGCCTACTATCCCCCATGATATTCTTGATTATGGTGGACTGGATCATGCAGCAAACAGTGGGGAGCGAGAAGAGGGGGATACGCTGGACTGTAGAAAAGAAACTAGAAGATTTGGATTTCGCCTTTGATGACTTGTGCCTAATGTCACACAAACTTGAAGATCTACAGGCGAAAACTAACAAGTTGACAGAAGAGGCAGCGAAGACGGGACTTCAGGTGAATATAGAGAAGACAGAGGTGATGAAGATACCGCACCACCACCATCAACAACAACAACAAACTCCAATCACCATCAACGGGAGAAACTTAAAGGAAGTAACCTCCTTCACTTATCTACGAAGCACTGTTTCAACTACAGGCGGTTTTTTGACGGACGAGGACGTCAAAGTCAGAATCGGAAAAGCAAGACAGGCGTTCATTAGCCTGAAACCAGTGTGGAGATTTTTTTTTCTGCACTCAGCATGCGGAACAAGATACGGATGTTCAACACCAATTTCGTCAAGTCAGTGATTCTGTTTTATAGTTCAGAGACTTGGCGCGTCACGAAAGGGATTTCCAATAAACTACAGACATTCATCAACAACTGCTTACTTTTGCTAGCTACTGAAGGTCAGATGTTTTGCCAGAATTTTTAGAATAAGCAACAAGGAGCTTTTTCTGGGAACGAACCAACTTTTCAAGAACCTATCAGTCAACAAGTATGCATTTGGAAGAAGTGGAGATGGATTGGGCATACACTGAGAAGGCCGACTGGGGACATCACGCGTCTTTTTAGGCCAGTTGCTCGAGTGGAATCCCCATGGGAAGCGACGAGTTGGACGTCTTTTTCGAGGGTGACGTGGAGGAGATCGTGCGAGGAGGAAATGAGAGGTTGTGGGCTGTCGTGGAACCAGGTTCAAAAGATCTCAGAGAATAGAGGTCACTTGAGACGTGCTAGTAAAGCCCTATGTTCCACTAGGAACCCAAGGGACTAATAAATAAATAATAAATAGTTAACCAGGCGAGGTTATGCGACAGCATAGAGTATCCAAATCACACTGAATGAGTTGATGATTAGTGTCCTTATGCATGGTGTGTGCTTTGAACCATGGAAGTACGAAGTGCTTGTAAAAGATTGTTAGGTGTGAAAATGAGGAGTTCTGCTTGACACTTATTCAGACCTGACCTCACCGAGCTGAGGGTGTTAGACGGTTCTGCGTTTTCGACTACTGTTGTCTGTGGGATTGCTTGCATCTCGTGACAACATTGTGTAAGAAGTTCTATGGTGTGATGGTGTGTGTTTGGGAGTGGTGGAGGTCGTCATTCATTAAGTGTGGCCATCTTGCAACACCGCATTTGGTGGCTCCCACTTTTCTCAGTGTTTGCTTGGCGTGCAAATGGTTACGAGAATCGGAGAGGTGACCAGTGTATGACGTGGCACCGTGAGATGAAGGATATCTGCATGGGGTTTGCGTCTGTAGATGTCTGACAACTCTGTCGATGGGTTCCGGCAGATGACTGAGCTCATTGGCTTAGACAATATCAGATATGACGTAAGATCTAGACTAGTGGTAAACATCCTTCAGTTTTCTTGTGTCTTTCATGGCAGCAAAGTAAGACAGAATGTAGTGAATACTTCTTTGTATGTACATTCTAGACTGCTTCTTTAATAGCCCACTTCTATTTCAGTTTCCACTCCCTCTTCGTTTTGTTATGTTTGTGTAATATTGCTTTATTATTCTGAGTGGTGCATTTCATGGTACCTATGTTTTACCGAGTTTGTGTTTTATTAGTAGTACAATAATAATAATCGGTCACATCAGCATTTAACTAAGGAAGATATTGTGAAATATTTGTAAACAAAATGTGTAGTTCATCGGACAACTGGATTGAATATGCACATTCTGAGCTACAATTATTCTTCAACACTTTATTAGATGCTGTCACTTTGTTTGTCAATATAAGATGTTTCTGTCATTTTTTGTAGGACTTCCACCATCTCGTCGAGGGGATTTGGAAATTCTATTTTTCAATCTTATCCATTGGTTGGCTCGATCTCATCCGAATTCCCTCAGTCACATTTCACTGGTCTTCCTTGGGGACATCTGATATCAGGTAAGTTATTTGTTTATAAATGTGTGGTGCAGTCATTACTCGAAGTTATGTGTTACTCATTTTCATGTTTTGGAAGGAATGAAATGGAAAGTGGATTGTTTTTCTATATTGGTCAATAGTAAAATGCGAGTGACTAGTTTCCTAGTCAGGGCTTCTCATTCTAATGCATATGTTGTGAAATTAGAGAGGGAGGAAGCATCATATTGGTTATCAGTGTGACTATTTGAGAATTTCCATTTCATCTTCAATCATTATCCAGTACCAGCACAAGTCTGCCAAACCACGGCTAGTCAGACTGATGAGGATAAATGTATGTCTATTCAGGATATCATTATTTTGTCAAGAATTTGCATTTGTTTGATCAAAATTAACTGAATCCTGTTCTTATTAATGATATGGGAAATATGTTTTAAAGGTTTTGTGATGATGACAACTGGAGGTTACTAACCGTGAAGGTGAGGTTGGGCAACATTGTTTTTAGAATTCGTGAATGGATAGACGCTGTTTTCGTTTATGAAAATGAACAGAGTTCTCTCTTTTAAGTGTGATGTACAATCGTAACAAAGTTGAGTACAGTATATCAGCATCTGTAGATGGGGAAAGGGTGGGGTGGGGTGAGATGATATGTTGGATACAATCTGTTGAATGTGTTATGTGGAAACAGTTTGATTTGAATAATTATTTTTCTTTTCGAAATGTTCAGATCCAAAACTGCGTGCAAATGTTCCTGATCGTGTGAAAATGGCAGTGGCTGATGAGAAGGAGAAAACAATGAAAAGTCCTGGAGAATTTGTATTACAAGCTGGATATGGACCTAATGCCGGTTGGTTGCGTTTTCATATAAATATATCGATGTCATCATAGTTAATTACATTCGATAGTTTTTAAACTCTACTGGGAATTGTTGTTTGATAAACGTGATTGTATTCACACTTGAGAGTGGAGTGGTGGTGTGTTCCAAATGAGAAGACTATCGTGTTGTATACTTTATAGTGATTACTAGTTGGTATAAATTGCAAACTGACATGTGAAGTCAATAATTGATGGGAGTGACAAGTTGAACATGACCACTGGTCGACTAATCAGACAACAGCAAAGGTTTCAGAGAGCCAATCAAAGGAAACTTGAGTAAAGGTACTAAAACATGTTGCTTTCTGATAGTAGGTGGATCAATGACATTGAGTGAACTGTTGCAACCAGAATGCTGATGGTTCCTTATGTAGTTTCCTACAGTCGATGGGTATTCGATAGATATCACTGTTACTCATTGACACCGTACATCTACACTGCTATCTGATATTGAAAGTAATATCTTAGTATGATAGTCAACGAATTCACTGTTGAGCTGTTTGTGTGTGAAGCTCAAATGTGGTAGACTTGGTGTTGTAATGAGCATCAATGTGTGAATAGTTGTCTATGCATGTTGTTGATGTAGGTCGACTGTATTAGATAGAGATCAACAGGAGGCTGTGGAGGTATTTGTGTCTGTTAGTAACTATGAGTAAGGCGTATGTGCAACTTTGAGATGGTGACTTATAATGCTGGCGAACGGAATTGGACTATGGATTTATCCTTCAATAGTAGTTGGCTAATGAACACGGATATCAACTCATTATGGGCAAAGTGACTGACTGTCGACTAACATTTATTCTGGTTGATGACATCAACTACTTTATCGTATTCTTGTGCTTGTAATTGTAAAAACAACTCGCCTTTTGGACATATTTCATATTTATCTTGAATCGTCTATTCCCCCTTTTAGATCTACTTTCATTCATTCAGTGCATCCTGCAATTGGGTTATGCGGATACACCAGATTATGGTTATTTGCGTAAATGTTTGTACAGTGCGAAATGTTCTATAGGCAAACAAATGGTGTCAAGTTGTAAATCAACTTTATCTTCAGATCAAACGAGTACTTCTTCACCATCACGACGTAAATATAATGCAAAGAATACTTCAAAGGTGTGGGTAGTTTCTTTGTTTACAAAAGATGAGTTTTCATGTACTATGCGATTCATTTAGTTGAGTCAGTGTGTTATGTAGCAACTATAATCAGTTATGTAATTTGGCATTGAGTTTTTGATGATAAGTATTTACTTTTGAACGTTGAATCTCTGAAGTGAATTCGGCATGAGAACTGTGTTTTGTATGTGGTCGGAAAGTTGAAAGGGACATGAGTATACGTCATGGTTATCTTAAGATCTTGTTAACGGTTCATCATTTTAGTCTGCGAGTGACTGTTAACTGAGACTCCTGTGTGAAGTGGTTTTACTACTACTGTGAATCTTGTGACTATAGTTACCCTTGGGAGTGTACAAACTAGTACAAGGATTCATGTTGTTATTCTTTTCACTTCATAAGCGAACCCAAATGTCTGACTCAGTGTAGTTAGACACATGTTAAACAACGTTTATTTGTCTATGTGAACAATTGTTTTGTTGGTTAGACTAACAGAGACTTTGTAGAGCATGGATGCTGTTTAGTGTGATCTTGAAGTGAAATGATATTGTGTACTACATGAAGCTAAGCTCGAGGAGGGATTTCAAGTATGTCTTATCGTAGACGCTGGAAAAGAAAAAGAAAGTGTGACTTTGCACAGAAATGCATAAGTTGGACATGTCACGAAACACAGTAGTCTGCCAAGTGTGAGTGGGTAGAGAAGGAGTGATTTGACAGCAGACAACGGTGTGTAGGATGCAAAGGAATTTGAAAATGAGTGTTGATTGAAATTTTCAAGGTTGGGAGACATCGAAGAGTGAATATATGTGTGGTTGATTGCGACTGATTTTCAGCCATGTGAATAAGGTTCTTCAACCAGTGAATCGTATGATCTGGAGGATCGCAACTGGGCAATCTATGCCTGTGTACATGGATGGCTCAAACGAATAGTGATAGACTTCATGTGGTGATGCCACTCATTGGTCTGGTCTTCCTTAGCCGCCTTCCAATGCAATCTTACTTCAGCCAACATTTCATATTGGGATGGGCAGATCTCTGTCATATCTGCTCTGTGAAGCGAGAATATCTAGGTATGAAAAACCTGGTGCTGTAGATAAACTTCAGAAGTATCTTAGCATTGTTCAGTTTGGGAGTACTACTTAACTTAGATAGTTAAAATCCTTTTGTTCTGATGGAAGTCGGTGTTTGGCTTTTATAGTTTTCTCTTTCGCATAACCCACGTATGTGATCTGATCACATTACATTTGTCAACTGTCAACAGCTTATAAAAAGTGTATTGTCTTATGATTGTTTGCTCCACCCTGAGTTGTCATTAGTGTAATATTCCTATTGTTGTAGTACATGATGAATATGTGTTGGGTTGAATGGGACTGTCTGGTTGGGTAACCATACGTTTGTTAATCTAAGCTGAGTTTCGGAGGACTTTTTCCGTATTCTCTAGACCACTGAAAATAGTCATCCAGGATAATAAACACTTTGATGAGATTGGAGGGGATTTCTGTAATTTTTACTTTGTGGCATAAGTAATTCTGCGTACACATTGTAAGCTAGTCGAATTGATTGTATTTCCTCCGTTTACTGGTTTTTTTTATTGATTATTGACCAGCGTTGGTAATAGTATTGAACTTGTTGTTACTTGAATCAGCTTATCTTTTTTTATATTCTACAGATCAGTGATTCATGTGCTTTGAATTCAGTAGAGAATTTGGATTGTATGAATAGTATTTCGAAAACACCAGACAGTTTACCAGCTAAACGATCGAGAGGTCGTCCACCGGGTCGTTGTAAACAAGTGGAGAATATCTCACCAGTTGTAAGTGATCGTAGACGTTCTGGTTGGTGTCAGACGTCGCCTGAATTGTTAGCTGTTGCTAAAGCTGAGGCGTTAGGTCGCAGAGCTCTGAAGTTGGCGGAAATGAAGCTAAGTTGACCTACGTTGTGTATATAGATATATATTTGTTGTAGAGAATGGATTTGTCATGAATATGCACCAAGGACTGTGTTCCTGTGTGATTCTCTTTCTGTACAGATCTTATTTTACTTTATTTCATCTCATACCCTTCTTTATTTCTCAACGTCTTTGAGAATTGTTACAGATTAACATGGAGATATGCATATATTTTTTGCATTGTTTATGCGTTTTGTCTTTTCTGTTTGTGGTGTTCGTTCAGTTGTTTTAGGATGTGATGAGTCCACCTTATAATCTTCGTTTTGGTTGAAACTAGCATAAGGAATTTTCCGAGTTTCTGCATAGAATGTTCTTTCAACCGACTTCATTAGTCTACGTTTTAGCGCATTATTTGCTGCGTCTCCATTGAATTTGAAGCTGGAAAATAGTTTTTTCTTGCCCATAGTGATAGGAGGCTAAATGGTGGTGTAGCGTCACATACTTTCTCAAGATCAGTAGTCTAGGGTTCGACGAGATTCAGCGTTGATTCTGACCTTGAATAGTTTTATCGAAGTGACTAAGCTGAAGACTTATGGTCAATGATCCAGGCCATTTGGGACGCCGTGGTGTTACGTTGCACTTGTTGTCATCGATTCTCTAAGCAGCTAGTGGGAACGTATCGGTATTTTGGCACGACCTCTCAAATATACTATTCGATCTGACTACACTATTGTGTTTTGCCTTGGTCTTGTATTCGTGGGTATATTACAAGTACGAGTAATTAGTGATTGGCCTCTGCGTCTGTCAAGTTCGCATAAAGACAATTCGTAAAGTAGCATTGTGATTTAGAATTTTAGTCTATGAATTTATCTGGTTATCGATTTCTGGTGTAAGTCGATCTTCTAAGTATGATTTTGCCTTCTGTAGTGTTGTTAGTACAAATCTTTGGTATTCGAGAGAAAATGAAATGGGTTAAGTATCTTTGTCGGGTGATTGGAACCGAGCTGTTAGGTTTTGTCATTTGTCCATTCCACATAGATTTTCGATAAGTGGATCTCTTAAGCATCACATCACATCATCCCTTCTTCTACAGCAGATATGTTGATGATAGATGATTGTTTGTGATAAGAGTTGTGACTTACAGTCAGTACTTCAGTTTTCCAATGAATATCACTCCTTCACCAACTTTACAACAGAGATGAAATCACACTGGAAGACATCATTTTTCTAAGTTCAGTTAAGAAGAGAAGAAGGTGATGAGAAGCATAGAGGATGAATGTATCGAAAATCTACGTGGGATAGGCAAATGATCAACTTTCTTAGTTGAGTTGAGTTGAGTTGCAATTAGTCAATTTGTAGTATCTGCTGTCGAATGTCGTAAATTAGAAGAATAAAGATCGACGTTCATCAGTGAAAGTCAATGTAGATTAATCAACAGCTACATATTACATAGAGCATTTGATTGACAATGGATACACAGTTCCAGAAGACTCGTTTTCACTGGTGTACATAGAACAAGGTAATATTGCGAATGGTGTGATGAAATGTTTACTTTGTACTGCTGTAGCTCTGGCAATACAACAATCGACACTTGGATTGTATATCGAGAAGCGAATTTACTATTCTCTATCCTTGTTGATTTGTGAATTCTTAAACCTTCCAATTTATAAGGCTAACTAGCGTTTTAATTTTCATGTTTCTATTATGTATGTGATTATCCGTTAGCTGAATTACAAATTTCTCATTCCCTTGCTTACTGACAACTGCCTACTCACTTTACCAAGAATTGTTTATTTCGAGTTGGTATTCATCATGCGGAGAGATTATTTGTAGAGACATAAGATAGCTGGGATTACGAGACAGCTGTTTTGGGCTAGTGTGGGACTCTTCAGCAATACACACGCCTGGTGTGACCAGGGGCCGAACCTAGGATCTTCAGGTTCTGCTACCAACACGTTACCATTGAACTACTGTGTCGGTATTCAATGGTCTATATTTCCTACTTGTGTCAGTTGATGATGAATGACAGCCTGAAGTTGGTTAATCTCCCGAAACGTCAAATTTAAATTAACCCAGTGTTCATTGCTTTGTGAAGTTCCAGTGAGAAGTCGTGACCGGTAGTGTCAACGAAGTCGGATATAAGGATATTTATTGAAGGACGGCATTGGTAGGAGGTCGTGAACTGACAGAGGTAGGAATTATGAGCCATTGGATTTCGACGCAGGAGCTGAATAGTAAAGTGTTGGCCACGGAGCCTGTAGGTCTTGGGTGTGGTCCTTGATGGAGTGGGGTCATGGGTGAGCACTGCTGAGTAGTCTGACACTAAGAAGAGACAGCTATCCAGTGCTCTGAAGTTTCCAATGATTCTTCAGCTGATGTCAGTCGATGATGAATACCATCCTGAATCAATAAATCCTCACAAATCTCCAAAGTGATTTTTTTTTGTTTCCTGATTTCAATTAAGATTTACTCATTTTGTCAAATAATGTGATATTTCTTGCTTGATTTCCACCCGTATATTATTTTTTTAATGTCCACAAACTACTAACAAATATTGTCAGTTTTACGTACACTGGTTATATTTGATGAATAGGATTGTGGGGGTGCAGAGAATGATGCTGCGGAAATCCGATTGCTTCTGTGAAGTTTTAAGGTGTTTCTAGAAGCGGTATTCTTGACCTAATAGTTCAATTGGTGTGTATTGTAGAATGCCAATTATGCTAGTTCTTCATCATTATTTAAATGTATGACGTATAACATGGAAATTTTACATTGTTGACTATATGGGAGACTGAATTGGTAGAGTTAATAACCATGATTCCCGGTGTGTGTCCACTGGGTGTATTATGATGACGACATTTGAATTTGTGATAATTTCATCATTACAACTTGTAGGTGAAATTTTCATCTATCCTTCATGAAATAATTTTAATTACTGAGAATGACAAATGTTGGATGATTATGTATTTGCATTTTGGGAGTGAGTAGAGGCTGTTAACATGAAATTTATTTTACCATAATCTGTGACTGAAATTGTAACGCAATTCCATATTGTACAGATTACCGTTGTGCTAATGAAATTAACATTCCCAGTCAATTCATAATTTGCGACAAACGTCTTCCTACATCATCGAAGAGTATATAGGTGTCATAGGTTGAAGTCTTCATGGGAAGATTCTCTGTCTGACTTGTGTAACTTAACAGTCGATTTTGACTGAGATTATTTAAATAGCATTTCGGGGTAACATGTTTTTGGGGTGTCGAAAACTGTCGAATTTCTTATGGTAACATGGTGGTTGAATTAAAACTAACTCATGATGGTGACTCAAAGGCTTTAAAGTTCGATTTCAAAGTAAGTTAAGGTTTGGAACTGCTGAGGAATTCTCGAGAAATAAGTCATGATACGTGTTTATTGCCGTTTATTATTATGATTATTTGTCTGTTGGGTTTCTAGTGGAACATACGGCTTCATTAGCACGTCGCCATTTCACTCTCTTTTCTGCAGTCTTTTCAACCTGGTTACACCACTCCCCACAACCTTTCATTTTTTCGTCACAGAATTCCCGTGTCTCTCCAACACTTAACTCGTCGTCGTTCCCATGTGGGTTCCACTCGAGGGCCTGACGTGTGATGTCAGTAAAGTGTTTTCTCAGTGTATACCCGATTCATCTCCACTTCTTTCTCCATATTTGTTGTGCGATGTGTTGTTGGTTGGTTCGTTGCCAGCCAGCCACAGTTCGTCCCTCCTTATTCTTATTATTCTGGCCATCTGATCTGCAGTGTCAGTATCGAGTAAGCGAAGGCGGCAGCTGTTGATGTGATGTATGTGTGGAGTTTATTGGAAATGGTTTTCGTAACACACCAAGTCTCTCAATCATCACATTGAAGCAGTGACTCATTTGACTGACATTAGTGTTGAAAATCTGGATGTTGTTCACACTTTATGCTGAGTTGAGTTGAGTGGGATGGAGTGGATTGGAGTGCAGTAGATCTCCACACTGATTGTTTCAGACGAATGTAGGAAGGCTTGTCTTGTTGTCTTTCGGACAGTGGTTTTGACTTGCTGATCTCTGCCTGTGCTGCCTGTATTTGAAACGATGCTGTGTAGGCAGGTGGGTAGGTGAAAGAAACAACTTCCTTTAGACTTCTCTCGTTGGTGGTGATTGTTGCTTGCTGTTGTTGTTGTTGGTGGTGGTGGTGGTGATGGTTGGGTGTCTTCATCGACCGTTTGTCCTCTACTTTCACTTGAAGGAATTGCCGTCTTCCTTCACTGCCTCGCCTCTTCTGTCAACTTGTTAGTTTTTTCCTGTTGATCTTCGAGTTTGTGCTACAGAAGAAGACATTAGACATAAACCATCATCGGCGAAATGCAGATCTTCTAGAGTCTTTTCGTCGGTCCATTTAGGGTATGCTTATCTTCTCGCTCCTCATATGTTTGTTGCATGATGTAGTGCAGTGTAGTGCACCACAGTCAGGAAGACGATTGGGGATTGTAGGAGGTAGCCTTGTCTTACTCCTGTCTTCACTTCTCTTCAAAGACGTCACTGAGCTTCCCATTGTGAATCACTTGACATGTGGCTTCCTCATGTAGCTGTTGAATGAGACTGATAAAGGTTTGTGGCACTAAAACCTTAGTATTGGAGCATCTGCCAAATTACTTCTCGATCGAGGCTATTGAAGGCCTTTTCAGAGTGGGTGAATTTGAGGTGCAGAGTTGACTGGCATTGAATGCTCTGTTCTATAATGATGATGTTTAGTGATTTGTTTTTCCTGAACCCATCCAGCCTGTTCTGGTCGTAATTTTGAATCCCTTTAGTTATCAGCTGATATCTTGAAAATATCTTCATATATGTCAAGTATTCTGAAACATGGAATACATTCTCCTTTGGATTTTGTACACATAAATGATGGATAAGGTGGGATATCATGGCGAAAAATAAGGAATTTCAAATATATGATGAAGAGTTTGTGTTTCTATGGAATTCCACTGTTCATGATTGGAAATGGAAAATGTACGTACTACTACTTTGTTGCAAAAGCTT